ATAATTATTTGCACAGTGCAGGTTCTCGACCATTGTGGGTGTTGTAACTCGGTTTTAGTCACACCTTTCCTTTGTGTGGAAGGCTTATGTTGACTCTTTGTTCTCCAGCATTCTGCTCCTATTGTTGGATTTTTCATTTAATGTGCTAAATAATATAGGGAGACTGAACTAATTGTAAAATAATTTAACAAAAAATCCTGCTTTCCATTCAAATGTTTTTTTATTCTTTTTAGCACAAGCCCACCTTACTGCTGTGTGGACCTTTATTCTTTGCGAACAGGAGAGATGGTCAAGTCCATACAGTTCAAAACTCCTATTTATGATCTGCATTGCAATAAAAGGTAAGGATGTTTACTGTAGGTTCTTTCTGTGTTAGGGCATGTAAAATTTCTGTCATGAATACGATTTCTGGTGCCTGTGCTCCCTGACTGTATTATTTAAACTTTTCTGTAAGCATAGCTTTGGTTCTCTGTTTCTCAAGTAATATTTCAGTTTGAGTGGGACAATACGCTTCTCCAATGGCTTTCATTTAAGAAGCTGAAATCATTTTGCATCTGAAATCATTTAAGCTTCTTTCAGTTGTGATGAGGGTGAGCAGGAATCGTTGGAATCCTCTATCATCCAGCTACAGATGGAGCAATGGGATCATCGAGAGTTTAAACAGCATAGAGCACTAGAGAGTTTGTCTCCTTCGTGTTCCATTGTTCTGCCAGACATATTACCTTCCTGCACGTCCAAAAAAATCCTACTATGCACTCTATGGTCTACAGAAATAATGTTCCTGTGAGTCAAATAACAAAGCAGCATCTCTTAGCTGGGGTAACATCACCTGGTTTCTGAGAGAAAATGGCTTAGAAGGCTGAGCATCAGGTTGAAAATACTTTGTTCCCAGGATCCCTACGTGAGGATCTCAACGATCACTTGGCACTCCTGATGAGAGAACGTGATGCACTGACTTTGGTCACAGCCCATGATTGTGCTGCTTGCTCTAATGCTTCCTTCCACCCAGCTATTACTGCTGTTAGTCATGGTGTGTCTTGAGGTGCCCTACAGAAGTTGTGGGATGTGATTCCTCTGTTGAAGGCAGAGTGCTGAATGAAGAAATTGCTGCAGTTCTTTGGCAATTGATGGTCCTTCAGTAAGGAAGGTGGCACAATAACACAAATCATTAAGAACAAAAGAAAACATCAAAATGATACGTTTTATGTGCCTGTTGTGTATGGCAGTACGTAGCAAACTTGCATATGTGAAGACCATAAAAGAATATGAGCGTGTATCGAACTCGTGCAACTAAGGGAAGTTATCAGTCTTGGAGGTGAGAAAAACAAATATAAAAAAATCCCCCATTTCTATCTACCTCTCATTGTACCATCAAAATCTAAACATTAGTGACTACATTAGATCAAGTAGAAGTTACAGAAGAAAAATAGTACTACTGAGCAAACTAATACCACAGCTAATCTAATAATGAGGAGGATGTTTTGATGGTGTAAATGTTTTAAGAATTAAATGATGGTAGTGTTTTGTTTTGTTTTTTTTATTTTATTCCCACCAACCTGCTTCTTGTAGGATGTGGGTATGATGGTTACATCAGAAAAATAGTTTCACTGAAGTAGTTGAGTTGGTGAGAGTTACATGCCATGAATAGGTCACTGTTCCTTTAAAAGCTGTCAGGAGTTCAGTGCTTATCTGTGCAACTGTCCCTTGAAAAATTTAAAGTTCCCTTGTGTACAGTGTGATGATAGTAAATCTTTCCAGGCTGGCCTCCTCGCAGAAGAAAAATCCAATTGTAAAAACAGTCAAACGGCAAATCATCATTCAAAGTCTCTCCCAACTAAAAAGTCTTTCCAGGTGCTAATGTTTCTTTTCCTAAGTGGTAAAAATGGAAAAGCTACTTCAAAGCTGTGCGGCTGTATCCAGGGTAGCTGCTTTTCTGGAACGTATCAGGTTGTGGTGTTATCCAAGGAAAGCTCACTATTTCAGATTGAAAATGCATTAAACGTGGCCAAGTGCAGTGCTAATGGTGCGTTAACCGTACCATAGACTAATGGAGTCCAAAATTTGAATTTAGAGTAAAACTTGAGTTGCAGAAGAAGGGAACATTGTTTATTATTTATGTATTTATACTCTAGAATCATCCATCTAGTAGGTTTCATTTATGCAGAAAGACAGTGTGTCTTCAGAGTAGAGAATAGAAATCTACAGGATTGGGAAATATTACAATCAAATATACATAGGTTTTTTTATATATACTTTTCACTTGCACGTGTATTCAAAGTCTTTACATTATGCATTGGTTAACTTTCTTTTAGGCCTTGTAGAAGAATTTAGAATTGATCCATTTTTCTTTTGTTCTTCTCTCCTACAGTTTAAGAAATTGGAAGATATGTCGTTTAACTATACAATTTTGTCCAAAACAGGGTTTATAATTTTTAAAAAATCGAGATTTATAAATCAGAAGGGGGTGGGGAAGCATCTTTTTCACAGTGAGAGAGCTACAAGCAAATAAGAAATCCTGCATGAATTTCTTGCTTGGCTTAACACATCTGAATCCCCTTGTTGAGTTACGTGTTCTGCCCTCTTGGCGAGGAAGCTGCTCAGTCTGAAAGTGTATGTGTGCTTCCTGTTCTAGCTCTGCAAATCTGAGAATATGGAAGAATTTTGCCTGAAAATGTCACTTGATTTCTACCTTCCTTCCAAGAATTTGTGCTTCTCCTTGTTTCTACATAGAGGCATACTGGTATTCTACGATAAACAAAGCAGCGCCAGAGTCCCAGATGAGATGTTACACAGCAGAGGGTCCTGAAAGAATTCAAAATACAGAACAGAGCTTATTGCTTTGATCAGCTGCTGCATCAGACACGTAGATAGTGGCCAGTGTTACACCAGCCTGTTGGAAAGGCTTCAGGAGTTATCTTGGGAACTACAGATGCAATCAAAGTGTTTTGGCAAACGTGTTGGTACAAATAATAGCAAAATGAAATAGGAGAGACACAGATAAAGCATGTCTGGGGGAGGAGCATTAGGACGGTTTTGTAGGTGGAAATTGTGACTCAAAACTTATGGATATATCTGAAAATATCAACATGTCGGTCAGGCATGTATTTTTATTTTAATGTGGTCCTTCATCAAAGAGGCTTATAGGTATTGAGCTCTCAGGAGAAGGTGTTCTTGTGGCTAAACAGTTAAAAATAGGAAAACAAGGGAGGAGTTAATGGCTGGTTTTCACACTGATGGGAGATACGCATCACCTTTTACCCAAAGATGTGTGTCAAGACTGATGTGATTCATTATCTTTTTTAAACATTATTCTGTTTAAAATATGGTAATATGTGATCGTGATTTTCAGATAAAGCATTAGGTGTGTGTTTTAGTCACTGAGAGATGTAATTAATTTTTTCCCACATCGTATCTTTACAGTTAAAACTATTAGAACAGCATTTAATAATGCTTCATATTGTCAGCTAATTAAAAAAATATTCCCTCATATTCTTCCTAATGAGAAAATAATCAGATTCTTAATTAATTATGTCATATTGCTGAATGTTCCAGATAGCTGGTAGATTTTATCTGTTTATTTGTTGGCTTCCCAGGTGGTTCTTTCATTTCAAGAATTTAAGAACTTGGTTTTGGAAAGTCATCAATGTAGGTGAAGATGTATCCTAGTTATAAAGCTTTCAGGATGTTTGATTTTCCACGTTTGGCCTCTATTCATTTAGACAGGATGAGGTTTCACGTGTACTTATGTGGCTTTTGTTCTGTTACTTTATTTCGAGTAACAAACAAGTATTTTGCAATAAAAGTGTGTAACGTGTACAAGTGAATACATAAATACACACCTGTAATTTTGGTAATTGGCACAAATCCTGCTTCTCTCAACTGTATTTGTGTGCTGGCGTTCTTGATGTGAAAAAACGCTCTGCTTCTAGTAAATAAGATGGTTTAATAAATTTGCAATGAGATGGGCAATGGGGTTATTTCAAATTTAGCTCGTGTTCTACCGATTGTTGATTTGATTGTTATTTGAGTCATTGGAAGTAATTCAGGATCCTTGCAATTCCATTCTTTCTTTTTAATGGAGCTTTTACTGCAGGAGGTGTATCATAAATATGCTGTGTTGCTCTGTATCAGATCTGTGTACTTCCTGAAGTGAAGGTTATGTGGTTGGGATGAGAGAGAATCCTCAATAACTGCCATGTACGGATAACCCGGCAGTTTATCACTGTAGAATTTATATTGATGCTTTTGAAATAATTACATTTAGATATTGAATCTTTAAACCAATGCATTTAATGCTTAAAGTACGCGTTCCATTTCTGTGTTTTCAGGATACTAGTTGTAGTCCTGCAAGAGAAAATCGCCGCCTTCGACAGCTGTACTTTCACTAAAAAATTCTTCGTTACAAGTACGTATAATAATTGGGTTCAGTCTTGTTGCTCTAGTGGTGGAGTGAGATAAAACCTATTTTTGTTGTTGTTGTGTTTATTTCTAAATCCTGAAAGCAGGTCTCCATGACTTCATTTGGAGTTTCTGTCAGAAATCAGAGGAAATCTGTTGCTTCCAAAAAAAAAACAAGTGTTACTTTGCCTCTTTTGCATATCTCTTGTTGCTGTAACTAATTTCTCACTGTTGTGAAAAGCACGTACGCTGACATCCATAGGTAGCTGAAAAATTCTGTTGTTCATTTTGCACAAATATGTACAGAAGTTTCAGGTCTTGAGTTTCAGGTTGTTCACATAAGCAGCAGTTTGAAAATACATCCACAGCGATCTGACCGCATTTCATTTTCTGTTGTTCCTTCGGCCCAGGTACATTTTTTTTTAATTTTTACTATATCCTTACTTTAGCAGGCCCCAAAGCTCAAGCAGCTCAGCAAAGTGTTGTAGTAGAAGAACCATAGGCAGGTTATTTGCCTGCAGGTGCTGTTACATGTATTGCCCACTCAGCGGAGGGTTGTAGTGGGAAAGGTGCTCTCCAAAAGCTGTTCCTCTGCTGAAAGTGGCCCTTTGCTGCCTCAACATCTGTAACACAGTAGTAGATATGTTAATAGAGAAAAATTCTATGTTTTCTGCTGCTTGTGCTCTGCTGTGTCACTGGATGTGGTGAGCATCAGGATGTCATTTATCTGCTCCCGAGACTGTTGTCTGTGTAACGCTAAACACGGAGAAAGTATTTACCCCAGAAAAAAATAAAAATCTTATCTTTCCAAGCAGCTGGTGACTAGTGCTACTGTTTATTGACCAGAAAATCACCTCTTAAAATCTGTAGATTACTGATTGTAACTAACTTTGGAAGGTTCAGAATTTTATTGTTAAAAAGGAGAACCTGAAATTCCCTGGGTGTGTTTTCAGACACAATTGTAAAGTTTTAAGTTATTTTTTTTTGTTATCTGTGCATTTAAAGAAAAAGTTAGGAGGCTGTTTCTTGTAATAGTTTGAAGAAAAGCAGCATTATGCAGTAATATTAAAGTTGCCAATAGGTGTCAGTTTTTTCCTATCCATGGCTGTAAGATAGTAGGAATCTGCTGGAGTTCGGTGGAGAGAGCCAAATGGGGAAAGACTTGTGTCCGTCCTTCCTGTTCCTCACTCCTTTTTCTTCTACCAAAGAGAATTAAGGTACAAGCCTTGCTTTATTTTAGGTCAAAAATAAAAAAAACCCAAACCTCAATCAAGTGTGTATTTTGACAGTCCTTTTGCTTTTCTAATTCCAGATATTGTTTGTTGGTTTTCTCTTTTTCAAAAGATACTTCAGTTTTGTTTTTAAAAGTGAACTGTATTTTGAGGAACAGGAATATCCTATTCCTAACCATAACTCCTGATTTGCAGTGCTGTTGTGGAACAGCAGTGGAATTCAAAGAGGATAAAAAAAAAAAATTTCGGAGATATTTCCCAAATTATTTGAAAATCCAAACTCCTGAAATACCACTATTCACAGCGTGTTTCTCCAGCTGTGCTGTGTTTTTAATATGAGAAAATCAAGATGTTCTCCAGCTTTCTTCTAGTTCCGGGGTTCCAAAGCTCTGACAAAGACACCCCTCAGTTTGTACTGGGCGTTTTGGGAAGCTGCGGGACCCAGCAGACGGCTGGAGCTGCTGCCACCGCAGCCCTTGCCCTGGCACCACCCCAGCTCGCCTGTGGCCAGTGATGGGGTGGGACTGGGCAGAGACACGCGTGCTTTTTGCCTAGATGAATGCATGTCCTGGACCTGTGCTGGTGAATAGTTGTCCTGAGGATTTTGGAGCTTAGCTGTTTCACTTAATAGCTTATGCCATCAAGCGGGTGTTACGCTCTGGCATGTCGAAGGCTGCAGTAAAGCTTTTGTCTAAGCTTTCAGATTTTGTATGTGCTGAAATCTCTTTGACCTAAGAGTGTATCTTTAAAGGCTTAAGTTACTCTGTGTTTGAAATGTGATGTAAATGAGCTACCTAGTTAGCTGCATAGCTTTTTGATAGTCAGCCAACTGGTGAGCCACTGGGCATTTTTCCTACTTTTTTTTTTTTTTTAACTTAAGAAAGGGCATTGTCAGTTTAAATTGGAAAAGTATAAATCCCTGAAAAGGGAATTCCCTAAATTGGGGAAAAAAAGCCTTATAAGGCCTCTTCATTTGTGCTATTGCAGCATCTCTGCTGTACAGGACAGTCCTGCCTGAATCCATCCTGATGCAGCAGGACAGTCCTGCCTGGATCCATCCTGATGTAGCTCAGCTGGGCAGTGGCAGTCAGAATGTCACTGGCTGCCCAGAGAACTTTTAATCATGAAGAAGATTCTCAGCTGTGTTGTCTGAATCTGATAGCTTTTGGTCAGAAACGATGGCATTAAAGGGCAAAATATTAAATGAGGATCCCTGGCTCTTTGAAGACATTTCTGTTACGGTGTAAACCACTATGTGGAAAAAGATAATCTTTTTCTCAAGAAGATTTGGTGATGATGTGGAAATCCCATCTTCCATTCATATCAACTAAGTGGTGTGGGAGCCTTTGAACCTCATTGGGACAGCTAAAAAGCAAACATAATTAAGTGGAAGCTCTCATCCATTTTCTTGACTATACACAGAAATTAAATGCAGAATGTTCAATTAAAAACAGCGTCAGGAATTCTGAAGTTTGGTGTTCCTCAGCAATGCTAACGCAGCTGTGTTGCACATGAGTAGTATTTGTCTTTCTGTTTTTGTTTTTGTGGTTGAATGTGTAGCTTAATATATTGTTGTAATAAATATACCATAAAATATTCAGGATGTAGAACACGGTCAAGTTCGTGCTGCTCTTGGAATGTTTAACTCCTGCACTTCCTGATTTTTCTTGAGCAAATTTGACATAGTACTGATCTTTTTATTTTTTTTTTTTCCCCTGCATGTGATTAGGTGGAACTGTGCTGATTTGACTTGAGTGGCGGAGAGCCAGCACGTTTTATTTGTGCCTTTTATAACAAAATCTCAGTGCACAGGTGCTCCAGTCTTGGCCAATTTAAGACAAGTGCTTAAACTTGAAGGGAAAACATACTGTGGATATTGTAGAAAAATTACCAGGATATCCTATCATCTACCCTGTGAGGTGTTCTTGGTTTTAAATGTCTGCTAAGGAAATGCATAGCATCAGTCTGCAAAGAGCTCATGGCAGTAGCTTCCATACGGCACTCCGTTCTTACGCCTGGAGCCAACTCAGTTCCGTTAAGAAGGGACTTGCATCAAGGGGAGGATCAAGACAACCAGTAATTTCACACCCTGTTTTGGGTGCTCACATGCCAAACTAAAGAGATTCGTTTGATGTTTATAATAAGGATGTGTTTCCTTTGCTGGTTGGGAATTTCAAATAGGTTTTTAAATAATTAGTAGGAGTTTTGTCGTGGTTCACTTAAGATTTCTGCATATGACTGAGCGATCAGAAATGGAAGTGATGTACAGGCTTTTTTCCCTCTACTTTGCTCTAAACAATAGATGCAGAAAAGCTGAATTTCATTGATTTCGATTACATCAGTGCTCCTCAACCCTTCTCCAAAAATGCTTACTTAGTGGAACATTGATGATTATGAATATGGCCTGATGGATACTTTCTTCTCTGTAAAGAATATCCTTCCCACCCCTGGGCCCTAAGTAAAGATTATCACAGATAACATCATGCATGTGGCATCATCTTTGTGTCTGATAACTAGTGCCTGCTCAGTTTCTCTGGCCCTTCCACTGCTCATATTGATATATTCTCCATCCGTTATTCTCTAGGGATGAAGACAGTTATTGCAGCCATTAGCTGGCACCACATTTCTATTGATGCTGTACAGCTAGAGCCTTAAGAGGTAATTTTCCAGATTTTAGTCAGAGTACATTATTGTATATAAAGTCTCAAAAGATTTGCCTAACCACAAGTCAAAAATTATTCAGTATATGTTAAACGCATTCCCCCTGCACCTCTCAAACCAAATTAAAAAAAAACAAACCCAAAAGGTGTTTGATACTCTGATTTGCAGTTTGGATGGGGTATTCTTTATTTTCACTGACATTCCCAGGCAAGAAATAACACGGTGGTTTCAGTTTGTCACAGGTCCGACCTGGAAATGGTCCAGGCTTTTTCATACGTTCGTTTAGCTTTGTGAGAATTCCTTTTCCCTGATGGGCACAGAGGGAGCAGTTTGATCTCTTTGCTTTGAGGTGAAAACACTGGATGTCTTACGAAAAGGTTTAATGCCTGAAGAGTTGCTTTCTTCAAGAAGTTCTGTTTGTGTGTTTCCTTTCTCAGCTGTGCTCAGCGAGTAGCATTTATCCTGGATGCCCCATGTGGTACAATAATTGATAGGATTCCTCTGTCTGTGCAGGGAGACTCCAGTCCTTGAGGCAGGTGGGAAGTGAGCTCCTGTTTCACAATGTTTTCTTGATCAGTGAAAAGAAGCCAAGTTTGTTCCTGTGAATTGTATATAAGCAGGTTTTATTTTTATATACACACATATATGTATGTATATATAGAAACACACACCCCTTGGTGCAATTTGTAACTGCCTTCCTGGGAAATGTTGATTTGATCTCGCTTTTACTTTTTAACAGCATTGTTTATAAGAGCATTTTTTCCTGAAAGTCTGAATCAGCGTGTCGCTGTTACAGGATAATGTTGAAATACTTTTTGAAAAGGTCTGTAAGGCAACGTGGTGCATTTATGGAAATAAATGTCTTCATTGCTTGCAGGGTGTCTTGCTATATTGCAGGGAAGTGTAAATACAATGGAAAAACTGCGTGAAGACAGAAACAAGGCATTGGTACCCAAGATGTGTATCTATCATAGCTCCTGGCTTGGACAGTTTTAAAAATTATATGTACAACAGGAAGTGCTGTTTGTTTCTATGTAAGTTACTTTTATCTAAAGCACCCAAATCCTTAATGTTAAAGGTCAAACCAAAGTGGTCTTACATTGTCCTGTACAGG